TAAAATATTAATTTTTTATTAAGATGAATATTTTGAAATCTACTATTATTATTTTTCTACTTTAAGAAAATTTTTAAATTTATTACATGATTTCGTTATTTTAACTATTTAAAATTTAGTCATGTTAAATATTTCATAATTGAAATATTTAAATAATATGTAAGATATTTAAAAATTTTCGTTGTTTGAATTTTATTTATTTTAAAATTATTACGAAATATTAAATATTTTGTTAGATAATTATTTATCTATTTTTAATCTTTTGTTATTTAAGATATTTAGTTGTTGAAACATTTGAATAGTATTTTATTTTTATTGTTAAATTTTTATTATTTGAATAGCACTTAAATTGAATAATTCATAATGTTATATTTTATATTGTTACTACATATTTTCATGATGAATTTTGTAAAAATATAGAATTAATAATAATATGAATATTATTAAATTTATTATAATTAATTTTTGTGTTTTGAATAAATATGTTAACGTTTACATAATTTCGGTATAATGTTTAAATAATTATGAATTTTCTTAATTGAAACTTTCTTTATATTGATGTAGATAAAAAGTGGGGGAGAGTATAGATAGGAATTAGAGATAATTTAAGAGATAAATAGGAGTTAGAGATAATTAAGGAGATAAATAGGAATAAGAGACAATTTAGGAGAAAGTTGTGCTACTTGGCTAAACATTAGAAAAGCATATCCCTCTTTCTTTATGGTTGTTAGAAATAGTTATGCCTATGTTATTTCCTTATTAGTTTAATAGATAATTATGTAGAATTTAAAAATAAAAAAATAGAAAATTAGGAAATGGGGTTTGGAGCAAAGAGAGGCATAGTGAAGTCACTAACGTGGACTGTTTTTCTATATATATAAACCTTATATTTGCACTATACATATTTATATTTGTATTGTTCCCAAACTAAGACTTAGTGACAAATACAGGCTCTAACGTTACATTTATATTTGTACATATGTACAGTTGTACATGTACAACTGTACATATGTATTGTACAGTTGTACTTATTACTATAATCACGTTACTCATACCTCTAACGTTAAAAATAAAAAGAACAGAGTAGATAATTGCAGGGAATTCTGAAGGAAAGACAATGACCCAACAGGCCCAGTACAAAAGATTGCTATACGAAACAGAGGGGGAGTATCAATCCCATTCATTTACTGGGGTAGCTTGGCTTAGTTAAACGGTGAGAAGCAGCGTTCTCCATTCAATTAATAAAGGCAAGAAAAAAAAAGGATTTAATCAAATCATGGGCATTAAACACATGAAATCAGATTATCTCTTCACAAAATCCATCTTCACACCGTTTTCGCAGCTCTTGCAGCCGTGCATTGGAAATATCTCCCATAAATAAAAACATGAGAGAATGACCGATCAACCCAGGGTCAGAATTTGTAGGCTTAAAGTACTGCCAGTATAGGTGCCAATTCAGAATTGATATCAATTCACAGGTAGGCGTTGGTGGATAGAATGTGGGTTGTGGTCCTTTTGAATGTTTATAGCTCTGCAGCATAAATCAAAAATCTGCATTGGACAAATCCGTACTTCTCCGAAAAACATCCAAGCTAAGTACAGAATGGTAGTAGCTGTAAGAACAGATTTTGTGAGGATGGAATCTAAATTCTCTAACACAAATAAAAAAAGAAAAACTAATTTCACAAGTGATATTAGCTGCCTGATGGTTGGCCGCATTGATGAGGATTTCAATATCCGGCTCAACCAAAATTTTCTTCCTGTGAAGATGTTAGGCCAACCTTACTCATTCTAACAATGTTGCTGCTTCAGAGAAAACCAGAGATCTAAGTATATCGCTGCCAAAAAGAATCCACCCTCATCTGCCATGATAAACACCACATCCAGCATAAATCCCCCCCTTTGAAAGCTTGTTAGGGTTGAACTTGAACTGCTCCTTGGGAAAGCTCCATGAGTTCTAACATGAGCAAACATACGTGATTTGCATGGGAGCTGGTCCTGCCTCTGCTACTGCTTGGGAGTAGGGGTGTCAAATAGAATGGATTTGGTCCAACCCGATCCAGTCCAATGTGAGTCCATTACAAATGGACCAGGTCCAATTCAATCCAATAAATTTTTGGACCATTTTGGATCGGACCAATTCAATGTCTGGACCGTTCAATCTATTCAAATTTGTTTTAATTTAGATTGGTTTTAACACAAACTCAGTCCATTGATACCTACATTTTTATCCATCAATGGACCAGATATTGGCTTAATTCAGTCCAATCCAATATAAATTTATTACGGATGGACCAGGTCCAATCCAATCTAATAAATATTTTGGACTGGATTCATCCAATTCAATATGTCTTATTGGTCCGTCCAATCTGTTCAAATTGATTTTGGACTGGACGGGATCCAATCCAAAGCCGGTCCATTGACACCCTTACTTGGGAGGGTGCACACTATCTCCTTCATGGAGCTGTCCGTCTCCACTAGTTGCTAAGGGTACAAGCCAGGCAGGCTTGGGTTGAGAATTTGTCTAAACTTGAATCGGCCCGGCCCAAAAGACTGGGATCGATGCTATGTAAATTCTTCAAGTCGGGTGCTGGATATGCACCTGTATTAAATTGATGAACAAAGGCACATCCCTCCTTACATATAACAAGCAAATAGAGCAAAATGCATGCAAATAAGATGAATATCTTCTTTGGAGCACAACTGAGATTCAACTTAGGTGAGCTCAGGTTGGGCTTTTGTCAAAATTTGAATGAGTCCAGCTGAAGGCCCAATCCTTGAACAATGTAAAATACTAACTTGGGCCAACCTAAGTTGCACTCCTAACTGAGATGGTAAGTTCATAACCAAATAAGTGAAACCTGTTTAAGGGAAATGCCATTGGAGCCTTGGAGGTATCAGTTAAATCTTAAAGCAATGGGTGAACTAAAACCAAACAGGTTTCACCCAATCACACTCAAAGAACATATGCTCAATTGATTCCTCTCCCTTGAAGCAAATTGGACACAAGGACTCAATGATTTTTCTGCACTTAAAGTTGAACTAGAAGGGCATCCTGAAAAGCTTTCCACAAAAAAAGAAAAGGATTTAATTTTGGGAATTAGCTTCATCTTCTACAATTGTTTCCAAAGCCTATCAACATCACCACCTGAGCTGCTACAAGAAGAGGCCTCTCTCTTCCTCTTTGCTCAATAGTAGGCTGACCACACAGACACTTTCCTTCTGAAGGAGACAATGCATTCTTACATGGAGATTTACATGAAGAAATTTATATGCTCCCCCCTCCTGGATTACTTAAGGATGGTGATACTTGAGTTTGCAAATTTCAACGCTCCTTTTATGGTCTTAAGAGCAAGCTTCAAGACAATGGTTTGAGAAACTTTCTGCTGCACTCTGTTTACATGGCTTTTTAGGCCTCAAATGCATATTGAACTTTATTTACCTTATCTAATCCAAGTTTTGGTATATGTAGATGGTCTTGTCATTACAGGTAGTGACCATATCCAAATTTATGCTCTCAAAGAATACTTGGGCTCATGTTTTCACATAAAGGATCTAGGGCCACTCACTTATTTTTTGGGAATTGAGGTCTCATGATTTGAGACTGGCATACACCTTTGTCAGAGGAAATGCGCTCTGGATATTCTTCAGGATGTTGGCATGACTGAGTGCAAGCCCAGTCCATTTCCAATGCTACAACAACACCACCTTGCCTTAGCTATTGGGGAGTTACTCCAAGATGCAGCCGAATACAGAAGACTGGTTGGATATCTAGTCTATTTGTGAGCTACAAGACCTGATATAACATTTGCTATCAATGTGCTCACACAATTCATGAATGCACCTCGACAAGAACATTGGGATGCTGCACTTCACATCCTCAGATATTTGAAGGGCACAATTTCCTATGGCATATACTTATTTGCATTAAGTGACTTAACACTCAAAGCTTATTGTGATTCGGATTGGGTCAGTTGCCCAATAACTCAACATTCAACCACCGGCTATATCACAATGTTGGGTAGTTCTCCCCTATCCTGGAAGCCCAAGAAGCAAAATACTGTCTCAAGGTCTTAAGTAGAGGCAGAGTATTGTGCCATCGCTACTGTAGCAAGTGAACTTCTTTGGTTGAAACGCCTCTTTCTTGACATTGGGCTTGCTCATGCCCAACCCATGCAACTACACTGTGATTATAAAGCCGCCTTGCATATAGCAACCAATCCGGTCCTCCACGAAAGGACCAAACACATCGAAATAGATTGTCACATTGTGAGAAATCTCATACAGTCTCGGACAATCATCACTTGTCATGTATCTCCAAAGCTTCATCCAGTTGATGTATTTACCAAGGCCCTTTGTTGTGATCAGTTTCACTCCTTATTATTCAAGTTGGGCATGTTTTCTCCAACATCCAGTCCATGTCCAACTTGAGGGGGAGTCTTAGCTGTCTAACATAATCTATTAGACAGTTACGCATGGGCAGTGAGTTTGTTAGAATCAGTTACAACCTGTCGAAGATGTACAATCAGTGCTTATACATGTAATCTTACCTATAAATATTTAACATGAATGTCAAACGGAGACAACATTTTTCCATTCACAAATACTCTGTTTCTGTACCAATTTACAAAAATAAAAAAAAAAAGAAGTTAAAAGCTACTTCTTTTCACACTTAGATATTTGAAAAGAGAAAGGAGGAAAATCAAGGGATATTTCTGCATATGACATAAAACTTAAGCGATTAAGTTCCTACAGGGTCATGCGACAACCAAAGCTTAAGCAATTAAGTTCCTATGCATATGACAACAAACCAAACATAGCCAAAGGGGGTGTTCGCCAATATTCATGTGGAAGTCATCATTGTTTTGAGAAACAAAACCATACATATTGGCAAACACTATTTGAACAAGCAGGTTGTGGATCCTTTTTCTACCCATTGTCGGATGAGAAGGTAAGAAATCATATCTTACCACTACGGTTCTCAAAAAACACAGCTAAAAGAAAAGAGAAAAGAAGAATAATCCAATTGGACTATGCTAGTTCTTTCTGTTTAATGCATCTATGGGCATCTTATAAAACATATTCCTAAATGATAACTGATAAGAGATATATTACACAAGGAACTGCTTATCTACACAAGAAAAGGATTGGCATGATAAATCCACTTTCAAACATTCTCCTACCAGTAATCCCCACAAGAACATTTGCCATCCTTGAAATGATGAAACCTTTTGTTGTCCCTTACAATGATCTCTCTCTCAACAATCTTCGAAATAATCTTGATGGCATTGTGACAGTCCCCACAAATCCTGAGATTCTTCATGATTCTGAGTGTGGTTCCTGGGGGTGTACTGATAAGCCCATAAGCAATGGCTAGCCTCTCACTGTGATACATTAAGGCCTTCTCTTTTGATTCTTGGTCAATATCATGAAACACATACCTTGTGTCTGGCACGTAACCTGCTTCCTTCATCTCCTCATTCAAAGACCTAAGCTTTTCATAGGCCTCACTCTTCTTTGGGTTCACAGTTCGTTTCGAACCTGAATTGTTCTGTATTTTCTTTTTGTTTCTCAGTTTCAACGCAGGAGGAGACTTAGGAGGAGCTAATTCAGTTATCTGATCCTTCAATCCAGCCGTTGAGAATTTTCCCAGCGTCTCCCATACAAGGGAATTTGGTTCAATTGGCATCTTAGCCACAAACCGCTTGGCTTCAGCTATCTTTCCTGATTTTCCTAGAAGTTCGACAATGCTTGCATAATGTTCCATGGAAGGAGCAATTCCATGATCCTTTGTCATTGATTCAAAATGTGCTTGTCCTCGTTCAACTTCTCCTAAGCATCTACAAGCCATCAGAACACCAGAGAAAGTAGACTTGTCAGGCCTGATTCCAACTCCTTTCATCTCGCTAAACAGACTAAGGGCTTCTCCTCCTTGTCCATTTTCTACCAAACCCATCAACATCTTATTCCAAGAATCCAAATTCCTTTCGGGCATTTCTTCGAAGACTCTACGGGCGTCTTCCGTACTGCCCAATTTACAATAAAACTCGATTAATTCGTTAAGGACTAAAATGCTAGGTCTAGGAATAGATTTGTTTATGTAATCATGGACCTTTCTTCCGGCTTCCAACAACTTGAAATTGACACAAGCTTCGAGCAAAGCAACAAGGCTATTCGTGTCAACACAAATTCCCCGCCTCTCCATGTCGTCCAGAAGCTCAAGAGCTGCTTCTACTCTTCCTTCTCTGCACAAACTTTTAAAATCATAGGCCAACCGATTCCCTCCCTGCACGTAACCAGCATTCCGTTGGGAAACTCTTAAAACACCCACGATACCTCTCTTCTTCTTAGCATGAAGTTCCATCGCAAAACCATTGTAAACACCGTAAGATCTGAAATGCAGGGGTGCAGATGGGCATGGTTTCGAACTTCTGAGTTTGCGGAGTGAGCAAAAATTCGTAAAAGTAGCCGTTGCGAGTCCTTGCGCCATGGTGCTGCCGGTGCGAGAGGAAGAATTTGGGAAATATCAGAGTTCTCGTTATCGGTCATTAGTCAATCATATTTTTTTGGACAAATTTTTTAAACTATCCTGAGGTTTAGGAAATTGACAAACTATACCCTTACTGTTTCAGTGTTATCTTAAAGTAATCCTATTATTTTCAACAATTATTATTATTATTAAATATAATGGAAAAAATAAAATAAAATATCCAATTTGCCTCCACTATTTCTCAAATTTTCAAAATAAAACCCAATTCCTACCATATCAATCTTTCTGATGGCATGAAAATTTGTTCGGAGATTTTAACAAGAAACTGTGAGAAAAAAACTTGAATTTACAAGAACGGGTCATACCTTTGGACATATCGGTCCTCCGACCACCGGTGATCATGTACGGGAATACCTCAGCTTTGAACAACAAAGAAGAAGAGAAGGGCGTGCGAACCAGTTCCACCTCATCCCGAACTTCCTAATTTGTTTTGGAGTTCTAGAAATCATAGCAATTCATTATGGTGGTCGGTTTCAGCCCTTAGTTTGATCGAATTATATAGTTGTTTGGTTTTCAGCCAATTAATTGCTGCAGATTAGGGATTAACATAGGTTTGATGCTCGGATAACCTCTATCATCATCGTGTTGCTTAATTAAACGATTTTCTAACTGTGTGGTCTCATCAACTAGTCTCTGTATCAGCATGATAGATTCTGTAGATTGGTTGCTAGCATTTCATTTTATTTGTACAATTAGGTAATGCATTTTTGTCGTGCAAGAATGTGTCTTTATTTCTCTTATTTTATTTATTTTTGTTGTGATGTCTATTTAACTTTTGTTATACATCAAGCAATACAATTCCTTTTGTTTGTCACTTGGTGATTGTTAAGTGTAGTATATTTTCATACATCCCTCGTACAATTGTGTTTGCAGGGAGAATTTGAGCTGATGCCCTAACTCTCAGAGGCGTCAACAACTCTTAAGGAGCATAACCCAGAAGGAAGAGAGAGAGGGAGAGACAGCTCGTTATAGTTTTGTTTAAAGCTGTGAGTTCTGTCAGTAATTTTTTTTTGGTTTTTGTTTGTGGGATTTGGGGATTTAGGGTTTGAAAACAAGGGAAATGACGCAGAGTAATGGCAATTACAACAGTGGGGGTGGGATGGATTTCCATTTGCCCGATGAGATATTGTCTGTCATTCCAACAGATCCATATGAGCAACTTAACTTGGCGCGAAAGATCACGTCCATGGCGATTGTGGGTAGAAGATATCGGAAAAGGACCGGCTGATATTTGAGTTGGAGGAGAAGGTATTGTAGCTTGAACATGCACTTCAAGAAACGGATGCACGATTGAGGGTTTCTCTTGAAAAAAAGATGTAATAAATGAATATTTTTTATGGAATTGAACTTTTTGAGAAGATGCATTGGTTGATTGTTTTCTGTTTGTGCTTGAAGGTGAAGCCACTAAGGAGCGAGAATCTCTGATTATGGCTTAAAAAAACTGAGTCGGGATTTTGCAAAGGTGGGAAGAGTGAGAAAGAAAGGTAGTATGGATTTTGATGGAACATTGACAAATGTTACAGGGGTAGAGTTATTCAATTATTTGAAATAGGGATATTTTAAGACAATAGTCAAATGTTACAGGAGTAAAGTTAGCCAATTAATTAAACCTTAGGGACACTTTAAATTTGCCCTTTTTTAAGTAAATTGTTAAAACCTCACATCACTTTCTGACAGTTGTGGTTCACTACCCTACTTTATCCTCAGAGTACTGTCCTCCCCTGAACTTTCTAACGTTATCGTTTCTACACCCCCTCCATTAATTCAACGTTAGAATGTTAATTCAAATTACTGATGTCATCCTCTCAACATTTTTAAATGTCAAGATTGCCCTTAAATGATAATATGTGGTTTTGCACTTTAACCAAAATACTCTAAAAAGAGTCATCTATATCCCTACTTGAATAATGGGTACAAGTTTAGAGAAGCAAAATCTCATGTTAAATGTCATCATCTCATATGTCTTTTATGCCAAGACTAGCAAGGACCCCTGTGATGCAATGCATGGGATTTATCAAGGAAAGTGAAATAACTAATGAAAGAATACAATATCATTTAAAATAATTAAATCTTTATTTTAATAATTTGTTACAAAAATGTTTTACTAATTTAGTAATTTGAATTAATTATAAAAATAAATTGGGAAAAATTACAAAGACCCCCTATATTATGGGGTTTGTGACAAAGACCCCTTGTACTTTGTTTTGTGACAAAGGACCCCCCTGTACTATGACCATGAAACAAAGACCCCTTTCATTAGCCTTTCATCCAAAAAAATACTGTTACAATATTTTTTAATTTCCATACTACTCTTATAATAATTATTCGCACAAGAAAAACACCATTCAATCCCCTACGAGGTTCCTAGACATTTCTCTCTCTCTCTCTCAACTAATCCCTCACGGCCCTTCCTCTACCAACAAAGCATCCCACATTGGTTCGATCAATTTTCATCCGACTTCTCATCCGAACCATCATCTGTTTAATCAGGGCTTTCACTGGCGATTCCCCTCTCACACTGCTGTGCTTTCCCGATCCACATATCAACCTAAGCTCCGTCGGAATTACCCAACTTCCCGCACTAAACCTTGATCTTAGCACTTGTACCCACTGTAGCATGATCAAATAAGCAGTAGCCAAGTGCATTCCATGTAAATCCAACTTCCCCTCCGAAGGGCACCATTTCAAGGCACCCATCAGTACAGACGATCCGATCAGTTGTTCAACCAACAAGGTTTCATCTTTCTGTAGCCTTTCTTTCAGATCCTCTATCGAAAGGGGGACAAATTTCAAGTCTTTGACCAAGGACGTGATTGGTGGGCATGAATTCATGATAGAATTGTACGTCCGTATCGAAAAGGAAATGTTAGAATCCTTCATTTTTCGAAGCCATGAAGCCATCTCCGATAGCTCGCTATGGGCTCCAAACGACGAAAGAACGATGTTCGAACAAATTGTGTCCAAACAGTACCCAACATCCTCCATTTTCCGAAGAACTCTTCGCATATCCGTGAATAATCCTAATCTACCGTATCCACTCACCAGAGACCTGATCAAAAGCGGAGGATTTGAATCTGAAATTGTCATTTCTTCGACCATATTCTCCGCATCACGAGGTAGATCCACGGCACAGGCTACAAATCATCGTTTCATAAGCACGTCGACTCAAAGAACAACTGGAGTCCGAAAATAGTTGCTTCAGACGAGCGTAAGACTCAAAAACACCAATCCTTGAACTCTGTTTAGATTAGGAATCAATCAGGTCACAGTAGAAGAGAGTGACATCTCGCTCCTGAAACCCTAGTTTCTGGACGGATTCGGAAATCAGGGCTTCAGCTTCTTCGGGTTGTCCGTGCTTATCTACATAAGCAATGACACTCGCGACCAGTTTCGGGTTCCAGTTGAACCAAGGGGTTTCGGCGATCCTTCTATTACATCTGAGATGATTCAACGCAGAAATTAAAAGGGCTTGGAACTCGATATGTAGGCAAATGTAATTTGTAAACAACTTTACCCCCCCCCCCCCTGTACATCACCGCCTGGTGCCCTCTTCACCCTGGCGCTTGACGGTGACAACAAAACGGTGATAGGGGTGTTAGGGGCGTTGCCGCCGCTTCTGCAATTGCTCCAGTGAAATCAAATCAAATGGATATTAAATAGTATAACCTAGGCTTTCACTGCCGTCGCTTCCGCCCTCTTCACATGGGTCCAATCCCGACGCTGTTAAGGGAAGGGGAAGAAGAGTGACCGGGGGGAAAGAGAGGGAGAGAGAGAAATGTGAAGGAACGTTAGAGTATCGTAAGGATGGGGAAGATAAACAGTGTTTTTTTCATGGGGATTAAAAAATATTGCAACATTTTCTCACGGTCATAGTACATGGGGTCTTTGTCGCAAAACAAAGTACAAGGGGGTCTTTGTAATTTATCCAAATAAATTATTGTTAATTACTTAATAAAATAATTATTTTTCCATATTATTTGTTAGTGTTCTATTTTATTTATTTTACTTTTTAAATGATTAAATGTTTCTATTGTTTGTAAATATCACTTAAATATCTATAAATATATAAAATTAGGTTATAGTCATAATTAAATTAATCCATATATTACCATTCTTAGTCATAATTAAATTAATCCATATATTACCATTCTTAGTCATAATTAAATTAATCCATAGTTAACTTTTTAGTCATAATTAAAGTAATCTAAACCCAAACTTAAGGTTTAAGACTTTGGATTAGGCTCGAATTGATCCTCATCCTGACCCAACCTACACCCAAGTTGCATGCATCGTAATATTTGTAATTGGGCTAGACCAAACCAAGTGCAACCCATGCATGCATTTTTCGGGTTTTTTTCACTATTTTTAGATAATATTGAAACTAAAGTAGTTATGAAGGATGGCCCCATCGTTAGGGGTGTCAATTGGACTGGATTTGGTTCAATTTGATCCAGTCCAATGTGAGTCCATTATAAATGGACAAGGTCCAGTCCAATCCAATGAATGTTTTACCCAATTTGGACCGGTCCAATTCAATGTCTAGATCGTCAAATTTGTTCAAATTCATTTTGATTTAGATTGGTTTCGACATAAACCCGGTCCATTGACACATATATTCTTGTCTTATATCAATGGACCAGATATTGGCTTAATCCAACCCAATCCAATATAAATTTGTTATAGACGGACCAGGTCCAATCCAATCTAATAAATATTTTGGACCGAATTGGTCCAATCCAATGTCTTGTTGGTTCGTCCAATCCGTCCAAATTAATTTTGGACTGGACGGGGTCCAATTCAAAACCTGTCCATTGACACCCTTACCCATCGTGTAGCCTAATTAATCAAAAAGTTGAAAAGCTTAGGCTAATTTTGGTAGTGCATTAGTAGTTTTTAAAGTTGCCTAGCCTAGCCTAGCCTAGCCCACACCTTAAGTGTAATAGTATTTGTACGGGCCTCTGGACTTGCTTGTGTTAATAATAAAACTAAGACTTTTATTACAAATTAAAAAATACTTTTACATTTTTATGTATATTAATATAAAATCTATCTAAATATTATATATGTGCATATAACTTCCATGTTGAGCTTATGACGGGTTGTTTAGCTTGGGCCCTATCTGCTAGGGCAATCGTTGTACTTCAAAAGTTCAATACTCAATTAGATTTTGAATCCAATTATCCTTGATTTGGATGTTAAAACTTGCATCTAGTTAATAATTCGATTGGATGTGGATTTAACCCCATCCAATTTGATTAAAATCCATGTCTAATAAAAAATTAATATTTTGTATATGTAGTATAATTATTGCATGCACTTATATATTAATATATGCATTTATACTTTAAAATTCAAAATCCATCATAATACTAATCAAATGTGGATGCATCTTAAACCACCCCTAATGTTTAGCTAATTGACAAACTGTAGCCTTATTGTTTAACTATTGTCTTAAACTATCCCTATTGTTTCTAACAATTGACTAGATTTACCTCTGTCGTTAGCATCTGTTAATATTCCATCAAAATCTATACACATGTGACACTGCGTGACCAATAATTTTTTTAAAACCTAATATTACCCTTCACTCCTCTTTGTAAGTCGGGTAAGAATCACCACCTGTGAGCGGGACTGTTACGCCAATTCTCCCCTTCCTCTTTTGTACTCTATAATCTCATGGGCATTCTACGGCGGTTTCCCGGTCGGAGCTTCTCTCATTGTGTCTCTACCATAGAATCTAGGCAATATCGAATTCGATAGGGATGATTTGCCAAATTAATCGAAAGAATGAGAACTTATCTAGAGATTAAGAATTATGTTTTGGCTTCTAAGATTCATTTTGTTTTAACAAAAAAGATCACTCAGGAAGAAAAATAGAAGGACAATTCCGAATAAAGTTTGGACGTTTAGAGTTCCAGACTTGAAAAAACACAAAAAAAATAGTTTTCCGTCTGGCCGGTGATGGTTCAAAATTAGCTAGACTTGGATGTTAGTGTCATGTACCCGCACCACCTGAAGAATATTCGTTGTAGAACACCTGCCATAACAATCGAATCCCCCTCGCACCACCACTAAATTACGAGGGTTCTTAGGTTTAATAGGATACTACTGAAAATTTATCAAGGACTATGGGAAAACGACAAAGCCTTTAACAGATCTTCTGAAGAAGGGGCTTGGGGTTGGAACACAAAAACTGACAAGAACTAAAGAATGTGGTAAGCACTACACCAATTTTGGCCTTGCCAGATTTTCTCAACCATTTACAATAGACTACGATGCCAGTGGAGTGGGCATTGGAGCAGTGCTGTCACAAAATGGGAAACCAATAGCCTACTTCAGTAAAGCCTTAAGCCCTCAAAATATTGCCCGATCAACTTATGACAAGGAGCTGATGGCTATCGTAGTAGCAATCTAGAAATGGCACCAGTACCTCTCAGGGCACCAATTCACAATCTGGTCGGATCACCAAAGTTTGAGGCATCTCCTGGATCAGAAGGTAAATACTCCTTACCAATAGAAGTTGTTGAGAAAAATTCTGGGCTATGACTTTGTGATATAGTACTAGAAGGGAAAGGACAATTAGGTGGTCGATGCTTTGTCTAGAAACTCGGGAAGTTTGTTAGCTATCACAAGGCCAGTACTAGAGTGGATTGAGGTGTTGAGGATAGAGGTCAAAGAAGACCCATAAATGATCAATTGGGTGGCTAAGGTTCAAGAATCCAACCTACCAAATGGGAAATATTGGCTGAAGGATGGATTGTTGTGGCATAATGGCAGGTTGGTCCTAGGAGGCAACTCGACCCTCAAAAGACAGATGTTTGATGAAATGCATGTTTGCATGTTTCTCCTGATATAATGGGTCAGCACTTAACAATGAGAAATGCTTAACCTAAAATGGCTATGAACCTTGTCTAATGAGGCCAAAGGGGAAGGTCATGGGACATGGGTGGATTCATGATCTTTCATAGAAAGTGATGGGGCTATGCAATTGAAACAGTTGGCGCATGCACCTATGTGATTCCCCTACATTTGCAAAGACGTGAATAATATCTCAATCCCTACAATTGAGAGAAATTTTAGAGATAAATAAATAGAAATGGAATATAGATAAAAGTTTGTCCTTCGATATATAATATGAAACAATAATTAGGTTGTGGACTGATTATTTGTATAATTTGTTAGAAATAGCATACAGACCATTCGCTAAGTTGGTAGATTATAACAAACTCAAAGGACCCAACTATGCGGATTGGATTTACAACCTTAACTTGGTCCTCACGTTTGAGAAATTGGACAAAATTGCCAACGAGAAAGGATTAGAATGTCCTGGTAAAAGAGCTTCTGAGGCTAGAAAAAAGGAATATCAGGAATGAGAGGAGAAGAACTCTTTGTCTATTGTTACATCATTGCATCACTAAACAACTCTATGCAAAGAGAATTTGATAAAATAGTAACTTGTACAGAAATTCTGAATAGCTTAAAGGCCATGTATGAGTAGCAAAATTGTTCTACATGACAAAAGGCCTTTAAACTATTGATGCCCACCAGGATGTTTGAGAACTAATTGGTTAATGACCATGTCATGAAGATGATAGGGTTCATAAATGAACTTGAGGTTCTTAGCTCTGATTTAGATGATAATACAAAAACTAATGCCATATTGAACTCATTACCCATATCCTTTGGTTAGTTTGTCCTCAACTATAACATGAATAATCTAAACGATAGCTTGTAAGAGCTCAACAATATGTTGCAAAAGGGTCGTGAAACTTATTAGAAAGGACAAGCTAGTAATATGTGTTGAAGGAGGCAAATTTGGTAGAAAGAAATGTAAGGGCAAGAAAATACCTCAGAAGAAAACTAATAAACTAAGTAAGTGGAAAAGAGACAAGTTGTCAAATGAGTTTCACTTCTTCAAACAGACTACGCACTAGAAAATGAAGTGTTCTCAATATCTGAATCCCTCAAGAAGAAGAAGGAATTTTTGAAACTCAGGTCATAGAGACCAATATATTGGTCACTTCTACCTCCTGGTGTGTTGACTCTGGGGCTTCTTTTCATGCGTATAACATTGTGCAAGGATTCAAGGAAAGTAGAAG